CTGGAACTTTGTAGAACTGGCTAGCCTCAACTTACAGATACCTACTTTTGCCTCCTGGGTGCTAGGATTAAAGGAGTAATGTTGCCACGCCCAGCTTTAACTCACTGTGTAGACCAGGCTGGTCTTCACACTTAAGGAGATACTGCTTACCTCTGCTTCCCAAGCCCTGGAATTAAAGTTGTGTTATGTCAGGCCTTTTTTGGGGAAGATAACTCAGTATGTAAATCAGGTTGGTCTCAAACTCAGGTTTGTCTGCCTTTGCCTCCTGAGACCTGGATTATGTCCATCCTCTTCTTTCAAGGAGATCGGTCTCACTATATGCAGCTCAAGCTTGCCTTGAACTTATGATCATCATCATCCAATTTCCTGGGCGCTGATAATGCAATTAGCTTTTTTTTGTCTTCTCTGTGTAGCTTTGCGTCTTTCCTGGGACTCACTTGGTAGCCCAGGCTGGCCTTGAACTCACAGAGATCCACCTGGCTCTGCCTCCCGAGTGCTGGGATTAAAGGCGTACGCCACCACCGCCCAGCGCAATTAGCGTTTTTTTTTTTGAGACAGGGTTTCTCTGTGTAGCTTTGCGCCTTTTCCTGGAACTCACCCGGTAGCCCAGGCTGGCCTCGAACTCACAGAGATCCGCCTGGCTCTGCCTCCCGAGTGCTGGGATTAAAGGCGTGCGCCACCACCGCCCGGCTTGCAATTAGCGTTTTTAACAACAGGGAGATACTGTTGTTTTGGTGTCTGGGTGTCATTACTCTGAGCCATCAGGACCTTGTTTATTTGGGGATGGTTTGTTGGCAGGCAGAACGATAACCAGGATATAGTAAAGAGATTCTTCACAAGCCTGTCTTTATCCATTGTGATGGATAGTGTGGTCATCTGGGAGCAGAAAGCTCCATTGTTGATTTAGGTCTTCTCAGTAGGTGTGATTTAGGTCTTCTCAGTAGGTGGGTCAAGGTTATGGGATGAGCTGGAAATGGGGTCACAAGGGTTTTGTCTACCACTTGAGTTGGAGATGGCTAAGGGCATGATTCCAATTTCCCAGGGCCTGCTAAGACTCCCGATGGTGAACGCACTGTCTATTGTAATGTGCACAAGCATGAACCCCTTGTACTGTTTTGTGAGAGCTGTGATACTCTGACCTGCCGGGACTGCCAGCTCAACGCTCACAAGGACCATCAGTGAGTCTCAAGTCACAGTGGGTAGGTGGATGCCTCCATTTCCAAATTGAGCATGCAGGCTCACTTTTTTGTGTGGTTTTAGGTACCAGTTCTTGGAAGATGCAGTGAGGAACCAACGTAAACTCTTGGCTTCTCTGGTGAAACGTCTTGGGGACAAACATGCCACACTGCAGAAAAACACCAAGGAGGTTCGCAGCTCGTAAGTGCGGGTGCCAGGGCTATAGGGGTCCCAGGGTAAGGTTCCCTGGCTTGACTTGTCTTGTCCATTAGGATCCGCCAGGTGTCTGATGTGCAGAAGCGTGTGCAGGTTGATGTCAAGATGGCCATTCTGCAGATCATGAAGGAGCTGAATAAACGGGGCCGGGTTCTGGTCAATGATGCCCAGGTAAATCTTATACTGTTAGCATGACACCATCCAGGGCAGAGAATGATCCTAGATTCACTGCCTTGCCGTCTTCCTGACCTGTCTGTTCTCCTTGACCTGCAGAAAGTGACAGAGGGGCAGCAGGAGCGTCTGGAGCGCCAGCACTGGACCATGACCAAAATCCAGAAGCATCAGGAACACATTTTGCGATTTGCCTCTTGGGCTCTGGAAAGTGATAACAATACAGCCCTCTTGCTTTCTAAGAAGCTGGTGTGTAGTGGTGGGCTTTATTCAGCTAGATGGCCATTCAACATCTTTGGGACCCTGTAAGTTAGCAAGTGAGCTCATTCATGCTATCTTTTTGCCCCATTAGATCTATTTCCAGCTGCATCGTGCTCTCAAAATGATTGTGGATCCTGTGGAGCCTCATGGTGAGATGAAGTTTCAGTGGGATCTCAATGCCTGGACCAAGAGTGCTGAGGCTTTTGGTAGGTTGCTTATTTAGTCTTGCTTGACCTGGGGAGCATCCTGCAATACTGCACCAACTGAAGATTCTCTCTTTTTCAGGCAAGATTGTGGCTGAGCGTCCTGGTACGAACTCCACAGGTCCTGGGCCCATGGCTCCTCCAAGAGCGCCAGGGCCCCTAAACAAGCAAGGATCTGGCAGCAGCCAGGTGAGCTGGGGAGAGGAGCCAAGAAAGGGGTGAGGGCCATAGGATGCCATGGAGTACTTGCCCCACTTAATGAGCACATTCTCTGTTCTGTCTCTAGCCCATGGAAGTACAGGAGGGCTATGGCTTTGGGTCAGGTAAGTTGTTTTTTGCCTGGGATTTTATTGGAAGCACTTGGTGCATACCCCGTCTTTGTCTTTTCTGCCAACTCTGTGTCTTCTGAACAGACGATCCATACTCAAGTGCAGAGCCGCATGTGTCCGGAATGAAGCGGTAAGTGACATTGACATTGGAGTAGGTGGTATAGTACTGGTGTGGTAGGGATGTAGGATCTCATAACAAGGTGTATGTACTTACAGGGCGCGCTCTGGTGAGGGAGAGGTAAGTGGCCTCATGCGGAAGGTGCCACGCGTGAGCCTTGAACGCCTGGATCTGGATCTCACTGCTGATAGCCAGCCACCAGTCTTCAAGGTCTTCCCTGGAAGCACCACTGAGGACTACAATCTGATTGTTATTGAGCGTGGTGCTGCTGCAGCAGCTGCTGGTCAGGCTGGGACTGTGCCCCCAGGAGCTCCTGGTGCCCTACCCCTGCCTGGGATGGCCATTGTTAAGGTGAGCCTGTCATTACAATACAGGACAGTGATTAGAGAGTGACACCTGTCACCCCAGATTTGGATAACAACACTGTCTTATAGGAAGAAGAGACAGAAGCTGCTATTGGAGCCCCGCCTGCTGCCACTGAGGGTCCTGAGACCAAGCCGGTGTTGATGGCTCTGGGTGAAGGCCCTGGTGCTGAGGGACCCCGCCTGGCTTCACCTAGTGGCAGTACTAGCTCAGGCCTGGAAGTAGTGGCTCCTGAGGGTACCTCAGCCCCAGTAGGTGGACCAGGTATCCTGGATGACAGTGCCACTATTTGCCGTGTCTGCCAGAAACCAGGTGACCTGGTCATGTGCAACCAGTGTGAATTTTGCTTCCACCTGGATTGCCACCTCCCTGCCCTGCAGGATGTGCCAGGGTAAGTGTGAGGCTGGGCAGGGTCAGATACATCATGGAGGGCTGGTTGTCATCATTTACATCTCCTACTCTTGACCCTAGGGAGGAGTGGAGTTGCTCCCTCTGCCATGTGCTGCCTGACCTGAAGGAGGAAGATGGAAGCCTTAGCCTGGATGGAGCAGATAGCACTGGTGTGGTAGCTAAGCTCTCACCAGCCAACCAGCGGGTGAGGGCTGAATGAATTGAATTCTTAGGTGTTGGGTGACCTAGTAGCTGAAGTCCTCCTCCATGCTATAACTCTGACATCTTTTGTACTGTCTAGAAATGTGAGCGTGTCCTTCTGGCCCTGTTCTGCCACGAACCCTGCCGCCCTTTGCATCAGCTGGCTACCGATTCTTCATTCTCCATGGTGAGTTCTAGAACAGAGGAGAGGTTAGGGATGCTGAGAGGTGGTGGGTGTCCCCTCTTCAGCCTGTATGTTGTCTCTACCTGCAGGAGCAGCCTGGTGGTACCCTAGACCTGACCCTGATACGTGCTCGCCTCCAAGAGAAGCTGTCGCCCCCTTATAGCTCTCCCCAGGAGTTTGCCCAAGACGTGGGCCGCATGTTCAAGCAGTTCAACAAGCTGACTGAGGTGAGCCTGCAGACTGAAGCAGGGAGGGCGCAGGGGGAGGAGGAAAGCCAGGACCTACTCACCACTCTGCTCTTACTTGGCCCAGGACAAGGCGGATGTGCAGTCCATCATCGGCCTGCAGCGCTTCTTTGAGACGCGCATGAATGATGCCTTTGGTGACACCAAGTTTTCTGCTGTGCTGGTAGAACCGCCACCGCTGAACCTTCCCAGTGCTAGCCTAAGTTCTCAGGAGCTGTCTGGTGGCCCTGGTGATGGTCCCTGAAGCTGGAGCTCTTGTGGTCAGCCCAGTCAAGCTCCGGTCTTTGTCTTTTCACCCCATACCCCCTCCTTTGGTGGCCTGACTCCTGCTCTTGGTGGCCCTGTCCTTCAGTCCCTCCTCACAAAATGGTTTTTACTTCTGTGGATTTAATAAAAATTTCACCGAGTCGATCATGCCTCAGATGTTTCAGGACTGTGTTCCTGAGGACTTCTTATTCCTGTATTATTCACCATATCAAAACTATCTTTCCTAGGGGACCTTATCTTTTTGGCAGGGTGAAGGATTTGAACACTATCCCTGTGAAACGTGGGTTGAGGTCTTAGATGTACCATGTTCCTCCCAGTGGCCAAATAGAAAATCTGGACCTGAAGCTACTCAGATAATCAGCTTGCACTAAAAAGTGGGTTGCATGCTGAGATTCCAGACATTTTTCTTTCTGTCCAACCCTCCCCTCTCCCCCTCTAAGACAGGGTCTGGATTTCCTGGAACTCTGTAAAACCAGGCTGGCCTTTAACTCCGATCTGCCTGCCTTTTGTGTCGGGATTAAAGGTTTGCACTATCACACCTGGCAAAGAATTTGTTCCTTATTGCTTAGGATCCTGACACCAGTTTGTCATTGACTGATGGTTTGGCCAATTGCCAGTTGAGCCCCAGACTAATCCCAACTGGGCTGACAGTCACCACCTTTTTTTATATCTGCGTTACCAGGATGCTACTAGCCCACTTGGGGTGGTTGGCCTGTAGTTTTAGTGCCAGTTGCTAAGTGTGGGGCTCGTACCTGATTGGTTCCCAGAGCCTTTTGGATTAAGATCAGTCTTGCCTACTGCCCCAAGCTCCAACCTAGAGTTGGGTCCAGTTGCCACTAGTCACAAGTTTGGGAAATCTCACAGCCTCAGGGGAAATCATGTCCAAATTTTTTTATTGTGGAGGGGACAGGGTGAAAGCCCTGGGCATAGAGTCCGTCCTTTGGAGGAGAGTTGTTCAGTCCCTGCGAAGGTTCTTGAGCCTCTCTTCCAGGTCTGCATCAGCATCAGCCAGGGCTGAGGCTGTGGCCTCTGCTTTCTTCCCACCAGCAGCCACACTGAGTGAGCCACCAGTGGAGGGGAGGTCTGCAGAGAGAATTGAGGGTCAAGGGCTGTGGCTGAACTTTGGGTGGGAAAGATGGGTTTGGAACACTCACTTGATAGCTCATCTGTGAGGCTCAGTCCCAGCTCATCCAGGACTTGGGACACAACAGCATCACTAGGAAAGAAGGACAACTCATGAGGGCTATGAATGGGTACGGGGCCTGGAAAACATCCCTGCCTGACTGTTAACTTTCCACACCTCTCCTCTTCGTCCTCCTCATCACCCATGGCATCATCGATGGCATCATTCATCATTTCTTCCTTCATATCCATGATCTCTGCCTGCCGTTCAAACTCCATCATGATCTTCTGAATCTGGGGTAATTTGAGCTGGAAGAAGGGGGAGGGTGAGTGAACAGCCTGAAGGTCAATGGGGATGGGAAGGTGGATTGAGAGGGACAAACCTGTCTGTTCATGGTGCCCATGGCCTTAGTAACACCCTTCATGGCTTGTGCCATTGAGTTGTTGGATTTTAGAGTCTGTATCTTGAGGGACACAGCCTGGATGTTGGCCCGCATCAGCACAAACTTGCGAACATATCTCCGGGTACGAACCAGGTCTTTCGCCATGATTCGAACAGCGTCCTGCAGTGGATAAAACAATAAACAATGATGCTGTAAAGTTATACTTTATTCCTGTTGAGATCTAGAAGACTAATGGGAATTAACCCAAGTGATTAATTCAAAAATCTCACCTTCCACTCAGGAGTATCACTCCAGCCAGCTATGTAGCCCAGAGTAGCCTACTGGAAATTCTGTCCCTGTTTTCCTAATGCTAGGACTACAGGCACGGGCCCCTGTATTCAGGCTTCTCTGTAATCTGGTCCTTATATGTAGGAAGGTAACAGGCCTAGGCTCATTCTTATCCCTATTCCCTTTTATGTCCAGAGTGACTTCTTAGACTTTCTCAGTTTTAACGCCTAGACTGGACCAGAATCTGCCTTGGGCCAGGGCTTGGATGCTGGTAGAGCCTTGCCTAACATGCACAAAATTCTGTAGTCTAATCCCTGGCACTGAAGAAAATGAAACACCCAACTCTTCCATATGACAGAGCCTATGTATGCCTCACTGTATCTGGAATCACATAAAAAATGCATCCAAGATCCAGCTTCCATTCCCTACTTACATGTTACTGGCACACTGACCAACTGTACACCCGCCCACCTCCCATCCTTACTGGCCTTTGTTTGTTTGTTTTCGAGACAGGGTTTCTCTGTGTAGCTTTGGCGCCTTTCCTAGAACTATTTAGCCCAGGCTGGCCTCGTACTCACAGAGATCCACCTGCCTCTGCTTTCCGAGTGCTGGGGTTAAAGGAGTGTGCCACCCACTGCCCAGCTTCTCACTGGCTTTTTTGACAAGGCCAGTTAACACAGGTTATCCTTCATCCTGGCTCACATTGCAGCCTCCAATTCTGTTTGGCTCACGGCCACTCGTTTGTTATGGCTAACATTTGCTGTTGTCTGCTTGATGCACTCCTTGGCTAGCTTCTCTGCAGGCTCACTCATCCTACTAATGTTAAGGAGTTCCTCCCAGATACCCCAAACTAGGAAATTCCTGCTTAGCTTTCATTCAACTTTCTTCAAAGCACATGTCTTTCATTGTCCTTAAAATAGTGGCTGAGATGGCACCTTGCCTTGTTTGTGTCCCAGCCCCTGACCACTTGGCACTTACCATCTGGCCTTGCTTTGCCATCTTTTTGATGTCTGCAATGATTTTCTTTTCTTGGGTTTCTAGCTTCTGCCGCTCCCTGTCCAGCTCCCTCATGGCTCGGTTCAGGGCTCTCTGGTTTTGCCGAAGTAGTTCTTCTGGCGTCTTCCGACGCCCAAACAACAGGTCCATAGTGGTAGGACTCCACCAGCAGATCTGAGGCAGACGTCAGACCTAGCTGTAGGGTGCAGGGCCCAGGACAGCAAAAGGCAGAAATAGGGTCCTGTCAGTGGTTAGGACCTGGGGACAGGAGGTACGCCTGAGTAGTCAAAAAGGATTAGTCAAGGAAGGTCAGAAGTGAGAACAGCCAGAACTAAAGTTATCCACTTCTCTGGCTCAGGCGCACCCCCTCCGCCCGCCACTGCCCTGCTTTCACAAACAGTAGGGCAGACTTAAGGGTGTGGTTCTGGAGTATCCCAGGGACCTAGGCGTGAGGAGGCACGCTAAGGTGTTTGAGTACTGAGGAGAGGGTGGCTGTGGGGCCCCTCGTCAAGGGAGGAGAGGATGGAGTGTGTTCTGAAACCTAGTAAGGTGGAAGTTGGGCGCTAAGGTGAGGTAATAGACCTGAACGATGAGGGAACCTGGCTCGCCGGGTGGAAGTGGCATTCTACACCCAGGACGTGACAGACACGGAGGGAAGGTCTTGGGGATGTAGAGGAGCCTGCGTACCGAGGGCAGGCAGAGGTGGGGACCTCGGTGACGAGGGCAGGGTCGGGCAGACTGTGCGACATCTGATGCCCTGGCCGAGAAGCCCTCCTACGCTGCCGCCCAACCGGGACCTGCGGCCCAGCAGGGGCCACTCACCGGAGCCGAGAGAGCGATGGGCTTCCGCTTCCGGGTCACGCCCCTTTCTTTCCGAAGCCTTGGGCCCCCACAACGACAGCCCCTCGGTTCGGTAGCCTCTGCTGCCGCCGCCGTTTCCGGATTAAACGACATGACGTCACACGGCCCACCCTCTCCCGGAATGCTGGGAAGTGGCAGGACGCACGCGCACAGCCAGCAACAACGCGCATGCGCAAAAGACCCCGCACCTCTGCGGAAGACACAAGTCCCACCCTAGTAACCCTCGCAGGCTCCCAGCAGGATTGCAGCACGACCGGCACCTCGGCCTATTCATTCTGGAAGGCCCATACTCGACCCTTCTTTGGGCGGTTCATTCATGGAATCTTAGCAAGTGCCTGGCAGGGGCCAAATCGGCGGGCCCACACGGCATAAAGGGGCAAGCCTGGAGATGATCTGTAGGTTCCCTTATGGTGGTGTCAAGGCCAGGAACTGGAATTTGCCCATTCTTTCCATTGCTTGCTCCTCATCTCAGTGAGTGGTCCCACTCAACCCACGGCCACAGTGGCTACACACTCACTCATCTTCATCACAGACGATGGTGGACCTCACCTGTCCCTCCCACCCCACAGAAGGAAGAGGCAGAGGCCATGCAGTAACATTCCCCTTTAATAGCCTGGTGGGACCTCCAGTGGTGGTGGGGTGGGTTGCCTGGGTCCAGCGACCCAGGACCATTGCCCACTTACCCCACAGTCAAGAGTGGGGTGTTGGACAGCACCCAGCGGGAGGGGGGGGCGCTAAACAAGCCAATTCATTTCCCATCGCTGAGCAGGTCGGGGAGGAGGCAGCACCGACCATAATCACGTGGTGGTTAAAAAAAAAATAACTAGGGGCAGGTGACAGGGAGGGGAGGCAAGGCCAAGGCAGGGGCCAAGGCTACCCCACACACCCTACCCGGGCCCCCAATAAATATTTGCAGGGGATGCCTGGGCTGGTAGCCCCGGCAGGGATGGGTACGTGCTGACCCTATTTCAGGCAGCGCTCGAAGTAGGTGGAGCCGATGTAACCACCTCTCATGGAGCGCTGCACATTCTGTTCAAACAGCCGCCGGTTGTTCTGCAGGACTTCGGCGGCCTCCTTGTTCAGTGGGTCCTCGGGGTTGGGCTCCTGTGGCCAGTACAAGTGGGAGTCAAACAGGCAAGAGAGGCAGGTGGCCAACAAACCCTCAGCCTGCAATGCCTACCCCTACTCACCAAGAAGAGATACTGCAGGCCATAAATTATGGAGTTTATCGTAAGGACGGGCTTCCAGTCCTCTCTGTGGGCAGAGAGCATCAAGGTTATCATGGGTTGGTGAGTGGGAGCCGCCACTGGCCCTGCTAGCACCAAACAGGTCGGGCCCATAGGAGACCCGTAACACTCAAGAGTGAGATGTGAGAAAGGGGTAGGATATGGAACAGGGCAGGCCATGGAGAAAGCCAAGGCCAGGCTATTAAGAAGACAACCTGGAAATGAAAAGACGGAGGATCACAGACCATACAGGGGAGAGAGGGACAGCCGAGAGGATGCATGGAAGGCAGGCCTTGGGAGGGAAAGGGAAGGCAGTGCCATCACCTGAGGATGTTGAGGCAGACGTTGCCCTCGAGGTCAATGTTGGGATGATAAACCATTGTCTCACACTTCACCTTGGGGGGGTCATGTGGGTAACCTTGTCCCACCTGGCCCCAGAAAAAGAGAAATGTACGTTTTTTTGGCTATGCATCAGCTGCTGCTGCTTCTCCACAGAGCCACCTCTGTCCACTTGGGACTCACCTTAAAACTGAACACAAACTTCCCACTCTTGTAGAAGCCCTGGGAAAGGAAGGGGAGAATGAATTAGGGTTCCCTAGTCTCTATGGGGCTACCCCTGGTCTGTTCATGGGAACCCCTGCCATGTTTATTTGACTCTTACCTCATCAGGACAGATAACCAGCTTGAAGTTGAGGAGGTCGTCTGGGTCTGAGAAGCTGATGTCACAAGTCTTGGGCAGGTTCAGCTCGTTAATGTCTAGATTTGGGCAGCAGACGGAGGGAGAGAAAACAGACGAAAGAAAGGAGGTAGGTCTGGGCAAGCGTCAGCAAAACTTCAAGTCCTCCTTCTGGACCTGTAAGCTCTGTTGTGTGGTGTGCTTCACATCTCTCAGTTTGCACTATATACTCTTCCCCACTTTTCAGTCTCTACACGGACTCTTCTGGATACACAGTATCCCACATACAAGCATCTTCAGTTGGAACTGGATGCCCATCTCTTGGGAAAGGGCAAACCCTTATTATCCCCCCAGACCCCCCCACCAGAAGTTCCCACCACACAGTCCTCAAGAACCCCTACTCCCATAATCCTGGTTTTCAAGAGCCCCTGAGCACCCTAAACCTGAGGCTCTCTAGTCATGATCTCTATTCACTCTGTTTATCTGTCCATCCTAATTCAAGGACCATGACCCTTCCAACACTAAATCATCCCTTTTCATCAACTATCTAGCCTCCACGGGCCTTCCTCTTCTCCGGGTTATTCCACGCCCCGGTTTCCATCTGACTCCTGAGACTTCTAGCATGGAGCCTAAATTGACCCCTCACTCCCATTTCTTAGACCTTGTCACCTTTCTTCCTCTCTCCCCCTCACCGCAAACTCAAAACTGCTCTGCCCGACTCCTGAGTCCTGGGCTACAAGACCCCAAAATAATACACTAAACCGTTTCCTACTTATCTCCAACTCACAACCTTCACCTTATCTTCACGGCCCGTCACCCCAAAGCAAAGTTCCCGTCTGGCTCTCAAACTATCCCCCTCCCCTAACAGATTCCAGGTCCCTAACAATCCAGGCCTTAGTATCCCAACGCCCCATACCCGGCCCCAATCTCTGACCCTCCCCAGTGACCGCACCCCCGTCCCGCATCACAACCCTCGCACCCTGACTTCCGATACCCCTCCTCAGCGGCTGCATTTTCACACCCCGGTCCCTGACCTCAAACGCGGGGTCCCGACCCCTACCCTTCTGGATCCGGAGCTGCGCCGCCGACGCCTTCTTGCTGCTGCCCTTGGTGCCGCCGGCCGACTCCTCCTCCTTCTTCTGCTGCTTCAGCGAGAACAGCTTGATCATCCTGCCGCCGCCGCCGCCGCAGCCGCCGCGGGGCCCGGGACCCCGGCCACCCGGCCCCCCGCCGCCTCCTGCGCCGCTTCCGCTCCTCGGACCCGCTGCCGCGGCCTCCTCCGCTGCCGCCGCCGCCGCCCGCCCGGCCTGCCGCGCTGCTCCGCGCCCACCACACGGCCCGCCTCGGCTCCCGTAGTCCGGCTCTTGGCCTGGCTTAGCGCCTCGGGTGAGTTCGGAGGCGCTCGGGAGGACTCGGCGATCCTCGGCCCCGCCCCTGCTTCGGCCCCCGCGCCCTCCTCCCCCTCTTCCGCTCAGGTCTTGTGAGGCCCCGCTGCGGCTGCGGACGGTGGCCTTCCCGGGTCCGCCACTCTCCGGCCTACTTGCTCCCTCTGCGAGGAGGCTGCGGTGAGGTGGAAGGAGGAGGTGGCAGCCGCGCTGGCGGCGGCAGGGTACCGAGAGAGGCTCAGCTTCCGCGGCAGGCGCGGCTTCGCTGCGGAGGTCGGCAACGGCCTCGGGCGCCCCGCCGCTTCGGCACTTTCCGCCGCCTGCCCACTTCGGTTCTTCCTGTTCCCGGCTGCGTTCTGCGCCTGCGCAACCCTTGCAGCCCCCAGGTTGCTCCTCGTTGGAGTTTTGGGTTCGGTCTTCTTCGGTTAAGCTCGGGTATTTCCGTTTGTGAAGGTGACTATTCGGCGGTCCAGCGGGTACTTCCTGGGATGCGCACCCAGCAGAGCAGGAAGCGGTACTTGCAACCATTTTTGATCGAGGCGGGTAGTGGCTGTTTGGTTGTCGGTGGTTCCATTTAATGTTGCGCTTATGCGGAGCGGAGCGGGAATGGGCTAGAATGGATCTTGCTCTCTGTGGGCTCAGCAAAGGCAGAGCCTGGGCGTTATAAGGGACATTGTCTGAGCTCTCTTAATATTATCGCAAACCCAGATTGCGATTGATGTAAACTAGCTTAAAACTCGTATTGTTCTGGAGGCTGAGACATCAGGTTCACTTGAGCCCAGGCGTTCAGGGACATCCTAAGCAACCAACACATGAGACCCTTGTTCCTTTAAATAGATTTCTATTGTGCAGCAGAGGGTGCGCACTGTGTAGTTTTACGGTCCAAGGTGGACATGGGTATAGAGCTCATAGCTGCGGCCTAGAGACCAGCAGAAACGGCGTTGTGCCTCTTGACGGACCTAGGTTGAGTCAGCTCGCATCCAGTCACAGCTTAGGGTGCTTGGGAGGCGGGAGGAAATAGCTCAGGATGGGCCAGTGACTTCCGACTGTCATCTAGGAAACCAGCAAGCGGCCACAATCGCTGTTAGAAGCTTCTGCTGCTTGTCTGGTCACCACTTGAAAAACATGCCTGGAACAGGTTGGGACTCGGTCCATTCCGCTCCTTTATAAAGGCCCTTCTTTGCCATCTGACAGATCTCCGGTGCTACCCATCATGAACCATGGTCCTACATTTGGGACTTGGTGCACCCTTGCCCACATTTTCCTGTTTTTTTTTTTTTTGTTGTTTGTTTGTTTTTTCGAGACCGGGTTTCTGTGTAGCCCTGGCTGTCCTGGAACTCACTATGTAGCTCTGCCTGCCTCTGCCTCCTGAGTGCTGGGACTAAAGTCGTCTCAGTTGCTCACCCCCAGCATCTTTTCTTGGCTTTATCCTTAAAAGCTGAGAGAAGTTTGCGCCGAGGACGGGGCCTCAGCTTGGGTCTGGTGCCAACCATCTGTCCTCACACCTCAGCCTCCACTCACAGCCCATTCTGAGACCCAGGGGGAAAACAAAACAAACAAACAAACAAACAAACAAAAAAGCAAACCTACTCCAGAACTAGTCTTCACTGTTTGCTCAGCTTCCCTACTCCATGTTCATTATTGTATAGCTGCTGTGGCTTTATCTGTCTTCCTCCAGACAGGATCCATCTCTGTAGCTTAAACTCAGTAATGTAGCCCAGGCTGACCCTGAACTCACATCATTTTCTTGCCTCAGTTTTCAGAGTGCTGTGATTACAGGTATATTCCTCCATACCTGGCCCATCCAGAGGCCCATGGTTGTGGCTCGATGGGGCCCCGGCTATTCTCTGTAGTCCTGCAGTCCTACTGAAAGTGCGGGAGCACTTGCCTGCCAGTGTCCTTTCAGCACTCCTGAGAGTCTAAAGTCTCCTTCTCTTGGTTCAGGATCCTTGGTGGTCTGTGAGGCAGGAGAGAAGAACACTGAAAATTATGGGGACCTGAAGGAATAGCGTCTCTGACCCTGGAGCCTGGAGAAGCAAGAATGCCAGTACAGTTAACAGTTGCTTAAAGGTTTTTCTCCCTTCTCAGCTGTAAACCTGCAATGTTCTAGGAATCTCACCAGAAATTCCATTTACAGGGAAAGGATGTGTACTGAACCTGAACAATTCTAGTAGCTTCTGGTTTTACCTTATGAGATTACAGTTCCATCCAAGGCATCTCTGGAGCCAGACTCCAATCTTTTATTTTTTTATTTTATTTTATTTTTTGGTTTTTTGAGACAGGGTTTCTCTGTGTAGCTTTGCGCCTTTCCTGGAACTCACTCTGTAGCCCAGGCTGGCCTCGAACTCACAGAGATCCACCTGGCTCTGCCTCCCAAGTGCTGGGATTAAAGGCGTGCACCATCACCGCCCAGCAGGAAACAGGTTTCTTAGCAACTCTTTGAAGTGTAGCTTGAGAATCACCAAAAAGGTATTATATGTGGCTAATGCTAAGACAATTGAGACTCTTCCTTGAGGATCCCATATCCACTGCTTCCCCCATTCTTCCATGGGAGACATATACCCACACTTGGTTAAGTCTTTTTTGAGCACTTCTCTCATGCCTAAAGATGATATTAAAGTATCTTTAATAAAATCTCCAACTTTGCTTCATACTGGCTAGGGCTGAAATTCTTTTCTGCACTGGAACCATGAATCTCAGTTTAATCTGAGTCCAGGTCTCTCTAAGATTAGGGATGTTGTGGTGGCCTCATGGAGCTGTGTCTTTGTCCCTTTACAGCTGACAGTTGGAGGGGACAAGGGAGTGTCATAGGGACCGGGGACCCCCATCTTCTCTGTCACCCAGGATCAGCCTCAGACTTGGTTTGACTTGTCTGCTTTCCTGGATGCCAGGTCCCAGTTTGGGGTGTCAACATGAAATGGCAGGAACAGGTGAAGCTATTCCCACAGAAGCGGCTTGGACCTGCAGGCCTTAAAATGGTATTCCTGGGAACTCCCAGAGCCAGTCTGACACCCAGCGAAGACCTCAACTGGGGTTTAGGGCTTAAGCTGAATCATGCTAAATGGATCTCCTTTGACTACCTGCACCCCAGTAATCCATGGGAGTGGGCAACTGTGTCAAAGTTACAGTCAGTGAGATGGAAGGGAAGATGGTTATTGAAAAGGAAGCAATGGCATGGGGCACCTGGCCTGAAGTGTCCGGGATCATGGAAACTGTTGGCAGCAGTATTTCCTGTGACTTCCTGCTGAATGCAGCCCTGAAGACTCCCTATGAAGGAGACCCTTGTAGAGCTATGAACAGAGCCATGGTGGAAGGGGCCTGTAGTTAGAGTGAGAGGAACCAATTGCAGAGGTTAGAGCAACTGGGCCTGGGCCTGAAGCCTGTGCTCCCCATTTTGGGGGTCCTCTTCTTAGTACCTGTTAGTTGCAAACGCATGGGGACCAGAAAATCTTGAAATGTCTGAGTTTCCGGGTCAAACCTCCCAATCTGTCGTGTATCCCGTGGCCATCTTCCATGGTCGCTCCTCAGTGCTCATCTCTGTGGTGGGAAGAAAGCTTGTCTGCTTATGACTGTTTCAGGGGTTCGGGGGTGGAGTGCTGTTAGGAGGAGAGTGACTGGACAGTGGGTTTGGGCACAGGGAAACTATGTCATGGGCATTGCTGGTATTAGCTCAGCAAGATGGAGAGCCTGAGAGGTGGGCAATCCCTCTGGCGGCCTGAGTGTTCTTCCATGCCCTACCAGGCTCCGGAATGTGGTGAGAATGGCAGGGAAGACACCATGAGATCCTGTCTCCTCTGGGCTCTAGACTCCACAGAGGCCTCTTAGCCTGCTGCTCTGGGAAACAAGGTGCCACGGGGCTGGGAAGGGTGGCCTTCCACCGGCAAAACTCCTCCTGGCAGCTAAGGCCCTTCTAGTAGTAGTCTACACACTCCCCAGAGCCAGGCCTTCTAGCTCCCTGGAGAGAACACCCCTGAAGGACCTTCCTCAGGATTCTCAATCACCCCGGCACAGGATAATCAATGAATGGCTACTCCCAAGTCCTACCTCCTTGACAGTTCATCACTTAAACATGTAAAGCTTGCAGATCTTCACTGTTAAGCCTGCCCACTTTTCTGAGTTCTAGCTCAAAAAGCATCACTTTTCTTATCCCCACTCTCTTTGGATACCTGCAGTAGTCCTAAGTGTGCTTGTCTTGGTACTCGGGACATTCTCATTCTCTCTGGTAACCCCAGCCCTCTGCTCCCATCCAGCTGATTGCTGACAACCATAGCTGAACCGGCCTGCTTTCTGGGACCCTGACTCAAATGGCATGGTTCTCTCTTCCTCTTACCCTCTCTTTCCTGCCCATCTCTCTCCTCTCAGCAGCAACCAAGATTTACAACTTTCCTGATTTGTTTTTCCCTCCAGCTCATAAAAATGGTCCTCAAAGTACAAGACATTCATCCCAGAGCCTGGCGAATGCTAGGCAAACAGCTCTCAATAAACTACATTCCCAGCCATGGCCCCCTTTTAATGACTTTCCCCATTTATTTATTTACTTGTGTGTGTATATGTGCACACATAACACAGAAAACACACACACACAGCTTGTGCAGGTCAGAGGACAACTCTCATGAGTTGGTTGTCTCCTTCCAACATGTGGGTTCTAGGGACCAAACTCAGGGCATCAGGCTTGATGATGGCTTTACCGCTAAGCCATGCTCCTACTCACCCCATAAGCCCTGTATTTTTGTTTGTTTGTTTGTTTTTATTTAAAAAACAGGTTTCTTTGTAGGCCAAGCAGGCCGTGAACTAGCTAGCCGTTTGCCTGCCTCAACTTCCTCAATAGCTATAATGATTACAAGTCTGTGCCATCACACACATTTGTATTTTGTCTTTTTTTGGGGGGGCGGTTCTCACTATGTAATTCGGGTCATCCTCAAACTTGTTATGTGGACCTGCCTGTCGAACTATGGCTCTTGCCTCTGCCTCCCAGCTGCTGGGCTTATAGGTGTGTACCACCACACTCAATGTGTGCTGTTGAGATAGCAGCTCATGGTGTAGCCCAGACCATGGGCTCTCTGCAGTCTTCCTTTTTCAGCCTCCCAAGTGCTGGGGTTACAGCTGTGTACCACCACACACAGCTAGACTACCCTTTTTAGTCACCCAGCAGTCATGTAGTTGGTAGGGAAACCCCCCCCCCCCCCCACACACACACTTTACTTTCCTTTGGTTTTTTGAGACAGGGTTTCTATGTATAACAGCTCTGGCTGTCCTGGAACTTGTTTTGTAGACCAGACCAGCCTTGAACTCACAGATCAACTGCTTTTGCCTCCCAGAGTGCTGGGATTAAAGATGGGCCACCACAGCCGTGGTTGACCTCTCTCTTGACTAGACCCTGAATAATTAATTACCAGGGCAGATGCAGAGAACCCTGTCTTTTTTTGTGAGTGTAGCTACTTTGCCCCATCTGAGCTAGGCATACCTACTGTGTAAGCCAGCGGTATGGTACAGAGTCTATCCCACAAAAGAGCAGGTGTGGTAGGTAGTGTTAACATTGGAAGGGGGTGGGTGCATGGTCTCTCCAGGAGGATGTGTGTGTAGAGGATATGCCCACATTGAAACAGCCGTAAGGTGGGCAGAGGAACCGTGCAGGTGGGGAGGCATCATCTACTATTTATTGAGCACCTACTGGAGACCAGGCCCCGGGCGGGCCTGTTGGGCGATGCCAGCCTCACAACCTTGTGAGGTGTTTTGACCTACTCAGTGCTGTGCACGCGCTGGTGCTGAATGAGCTTGGTGCTCTGGTGGAAGCGGCGGCCGCAGTCCTGGCAGGCGAAGGGCTTTTCGCGCCGGTGGGTGCGCAGGTGCTGCGTGAGCGTGGGCCGCTGGCGGAAGGCTTTGCCACACTCAGGGCACGCGTAGGGCCGCTCGCCGGTGTGGATGCGCCGGTGCTGGGTGAGGTTGGCATGCTGCCGGAAGCTTTGGCCGCACTCGGGGCAAGCAAAGGGCCGCTCACCTGTGTGGATGCGCTGGTGCTCAGTGAGCCGAGACACCTGCGTGAAGCCGAGGCCGCACTCACCGCAGTGGTAGGGCTTCTCGCCCGTGTGGGTCCTCTGGTGGCGCGTGAGCTTGAGCCGCTGGCTGAAGCGCTGGCCGCACTCGGGGCAGGCGAAGGGCTTCTCGCCCGTGTGCACACGCAGGTGCTGCGTGAGCGTGGGGCGCTGGCGGAAGGCTTTGCCACACTCGGCACAGGCGAAGGGCCGCTCGCCGGTGTGGATGCGCCGGTGCTGGGTGAGGTTGGAGCGCTGCCGGAAGCTCTGGCCGCACTCGGCACAGGCGAAGGGCCGTTCGCCGCTGTGCACGCGCCGGTGCTGCAGCAGCACCGAGCGGCGGCCGAAGCGCTCGCCGCACTCCACGCATCCAAAGGACTTGTCCCCAGTGTGCACCGCTTGGTGTTCCAGCAGCACGGCGCGTCGTGGGAAGCTCTCACAGCACTCGCTGCACGGGAAGGGGCCCGGGGGCTCGGGGACTCCGGGGAGGGGCAGAGCGGGTGGCGCAGGGCCCGGCGGGTCGCCGTGGATGCGCTGGTGCTGCAGCAGGTTGGAGCGCTGCCGAAAGCTCTGGCCGCACTCTGCGCATCGGAACGGCTGCTCGCCCGTGTGCACTCGCCGGTGCTCCTCCAGGCGCGCGCTGCGCACGAAGCCCTGGCCACAGTCGCGGCACACGAAAGGCCGTTCCTCAGTATGCGTGAGCTGGTGGCGCAGCAGGTGGGAGCTGCGACTGAAGCTGCGGCCGCACTCGCCACACACGAACGGCCGCTCGCCCGTGTGGATCTTCTGGTGCCGCAGCAGATTGCTCCGCTGGCTGAACACCTTGCCACACACGTCGCAGCGGCCGCCTCGGACCGCTCCGGTCCCGGTGCTAGGGCGGCCCCGGCTCCGGCCCTTTGGGGCATGCCAGCGAGTCGCCACCAGTGTTGGGCCCACACCCGGGCAGGGATCCTCGCAGGCAAGGTCCTGTTCACCTCCCGGGTCGCTGGGGAGTGCGAGGGCATGGGCGAAGCCTCCTTCTCGGGAGGGGGACTGCATCTGTCCAGAGAGGCTAGCCATGTCGAGATCCCAGGGAACATGGAGGTGGGGGCTCACCGTATCTGACTCTGCCGTGATGCTGTCCATCTGCAGCGCAAACCCTGCACAAGGGGACCCATTCCTTCATTAGACTCTGCCCTAAACCAACGAACTCTGGGAGAGTGAACTACAGACCTGAAACTGACGGGTGAGGCAGACAGGAGATGTGAGTGGCAGTTGTATCTGAACAGGTTTTCCTGAGGTGGGCAGAATCCTGAGTGAGGAGAACACTGAGGTATGTGTAAAGGCTTTCCTGATTAGACTTAAGTCGTTGGGGGAAAATAACACCTCTTTGGGAAAGGATTCTAGGGTGATAGTGGGACCCAGTTTAGGTGGGCAGTGAGGGTCTGGGAAGAAGCAGAGAATGTAGATTCAATAAAGACCAGAGGTGACATCAACAGGAAGCAGTGGGGGTGGGAATGCAGTTCTTTAGTCTTGGGTTTGGATTTGCCACACTTGAGATGACCCACGCATATCAGAGTAAGGGGATTCCATGTAGGCTTGGGGGTTGGGGATGAGATGAACATGGGAACTGTCTATGTAGAACCATGTCCCGGCTACAGAGTGAACCTTCCAAGGTGTGAGCCTGAGCCACAATGAACTACAGAGTGAGCTTCCAGGGTATGAGGCTAAGCGAGGGATGAGGTGTCCACCAAGGCAACTGAGGCTGGAGACAAAATGGGTGACAGAAAATCCATGAGGCACCAAAGGGAAGTAAGATAAATTAGGATGTACCAAAGGAAACCAGAATCAAAAGCCACGCTAACAACTCTCCAGAGACTAAGAGCTAATTAATTTAACTACAGCAGCTTTGGTCAATCCACGGTGACCTGACAGTCACACCGTGGAAGGATGTGAACAAGAAATAATGTAACTAATTGTTTAAGCTCCACACAACAGGCTACTCCCTGCTTAGAAAAATTCACTATGGGGTTGAATTGACACATTGTTTCCTATTCCCAGCATTTTTTTTTTTCCAGTGATGAAACCTGAACCCAGGTCTCATGTGCTAGGCTCATATTCTACCATGGAGCTATACACCCCAGCCTGTTTCCACATTCTTTTTTTCTTTCTTTCTTTTTTTTTTTTTTTTTACCATTTATTTTTTCATGTATAGGTGTTTTTGGCTGTGTGTGTGTATACCAGGCGAGACCACGTGGCTGCAGTTCCTGTGGAGGCCAAAGGAGGGGTTGGATTTCCTGGGACTGGAGTTACAGATGGTTGTAAGCTGACACGTGGGTGCTGGGAATTTCAAGAGGAGCCAGTATACTGCTAAGCCATCTCTCTAGCTTTGTTTCCATATTAACTGTGTATGCATTGCTGGTACAACACAGGCTGGGTTGGAAAATTTAATCAAAATAGCGAGTGGTAGTTGAGTACTTCCAAACACAGATTTTGGGGGATAGAGGTAGGAGTTCAAGGTTGTCATCTACTGCAATCAAGTTCAAGGCCAGCTGGGTTACATGAGATACTGTCTTGAAACAAAACCCAAAACAACTCACAAAACCCAAAGCAGTAGTGTTTCACACTGTCCCAGGAATCACGCTTTTAGGTATTTCTGTTTAGTAGTTGTGTTCCTACTGGTGTTAATGACCTATGAACAGGGTTTTCCAGTATTTAATGACAATGAACCCAAAGTACTGTGGACAAAGGAGTGACCACAGTGATCCAGGAGTCTACAGAGCTGCCTGAAGACCTGTGGCCACCCCTGCTGTTTGCCAAGCACATGGTGTGAAAATGGGAATAAGGCCATTTGGGCATCCATGAAGATTTCTTTGTAAATATTACGTGCATGTACACATGACTGCATGAGTTTATGTGCACCATGTGTATGCAGGTGCCCTACAAGGTCAGAGGGCATCAGATCCCCTGGAACTGGAGTTCCAGGACATTGTGAACATCCTGATATGGGTTTGAAAAGCAGTAAACACTCTTTAACCACTGAGCTTACTCTCTAGCCTCAAGTTTTTTTTTTTAAAAAAAATGTATTTTAAAACCTATTTATTGGGGCTGGAGAGATGGCTCAGAGGTTAAGAGCACCGACTGTTCTTCCAGAGGTCCTGAGTTCAATTCCCAGCAACCACATGGTGGCTCACAACCATCTGTAATGAGATCTGGCGCCCTCTTCTGGCCTGCAGGAATACACACAGATAGAACATTGTATACATAATAAATAAATCTTTAAAAAAACCCTATTTATTGGTGTGTGTGCTTATACTGTAGTGCACATGTGGAAGTCAGAGGACAACCTGCAGGATTTGGTCTTTTCCTTTCACCATGGGGCTCCTGGTGAACCATCTCACCAAGCAAGGTTGGTTCATTGTCTATTAAGTCTTTTGAGACAGAGTCTCACTATGTATTCCTGGCTGTCTTGGAACTCACTCTGTAGACCAGGATGGCCTCGAACTCACAGAGATCTGCCTGCCTCTGCCTCCCAAGTGCTGGTCTAAAGGTGTGCATCACTATACCTGGCTTGTTCATTGAAAAAAAATTTAAAACACATTTTATGTGTATGGGTGCTTTGCCTGGATGTATGTCTGTGTACCATGTGCAATGCCTGGGACCAGAGGAGGCCAGAGAGGGTGTCAGGTCCCCAGAACTACAGTTACAGATGGTTATGAGGCACCCATTCTTTCCAGCCCCAGGGTTGTTCATTTGAAAACACTATTTTTATTTGAGACAGGGTCCATATAGCCCTAGTTGTCCTGGAACTCACAGAGATCCACATGTCTCTGCCTCCTGAGTGCTGGGATTAAAGGCATGTGCCACCACCAGCTGGCTATGTCCCAGTATCTTTATTTGAAATTGTGTGTATATATGTCTATGTGCATGTGAATGCTGTGACATCAGAAGTCACTGGAGCTGGAGTTACAGGAGATTAGTATGTTTGTCTGACCTGAGTGCTAGGAACCCCACCTGGGTCCTCTGCAAAAGGAGGATACCCTCTTATCTGCTGAGCAAACTCTCCAGCCCCTTAAACATTTTCTTTTTAAACTTTTCTTCTTCTTCTTTTTTTTTTTTTTGGTTTTTCAAGACAGGGTTTCTCTGTGTAGCTTTGCGCCTTTCCTGGAACTCACTTGGTAGTCCAGGCTGGCCTCGAACTCACAGAGATCCGCCTGGCTCTGCCTCCCAAGTGCTGGGATTAAAGGCGTGCGCCACCACCGCCCGGCCTTTAAACTTTTCTTGCAGTGAATGGTTGTGCATGCCTATCATTCCAGCACTCTTGGTGTCTGAGGCAGGAAGTCTGACGTAAGTTTGATATCAGTCTTGAATACATAGTGAGATTAAGACTCCCTGGTTACACAGAGAAAACCAACCAAAAACAAGAAACCAAACCAAAAAACCCCACAAACAAACAAACTCCAAACTACCACCACCACAACAAAAAGCCCTTTCATCTTTAAATATTTTTATTTTATATATGTATGGGTGTTTTGCCTGCAGGTATGTCTGTGTACCCTGTGTGTGCAGTGCCTGCAGAGGCCAACAGGATTCTCTGGGACAATTCTGAGCCACCATGTGGCTGCCAGGAACCAAACTCAGGTCCTCTGGAAGCGCAACCTGTGTTTTTATCCACTGAGCCATCTCTCTAGTCCCATAAAACTTCTTTTCACCTTTCTGCTTTTTTGTTTTAAAACAAAACAGGTTTCACTATGTAGCTCTGGCTGGTCTGGAACTAGACCAAGCCGGCTTTAAGTTCACAGAAATCTGCTTGCCTTTGCCTCCCTAGTGCTGGGATTAAAGGCCGGTGCTACCATTCCTGGTTTTCTTTGTGCTTTTGAAACAGTGTTTCACTATGTATCCTAGACTGGTTCTACTTGTATTTATAAAAGGCTACTGAGCACCTGGCTGTTTAGGTATGTGTTGCTTAACTAAACGGAAAACTCTCAAGAACAGTGTCATCAAGTGGTTTTGGGTTTTTACATTAAAATATTTTTGGTGTGTGTGTGTGTGTGTCTATATGGCCATGTGTATGCCATGGTGCATATGTGGCGGTCAGAAGACAATCTGTGGGAATGAGTCTCTCTTTCCCCAATATGGGTCCCAGAAATTGAATTCAGGTTATCAGGTTTAGCAAGTACTCTTCTTGAACTATCTTACAGCCCCAGCTTTTTTTTTTTTTTTGAGACAGGGTTTCTCTGTGTAGCTTTGTGCCTTTCCTGGAACTAGCTTAGTAGACCAGGCTGGCCTCGAACTCACAGAGATCCGCCTGGCTCTGCCTCCCGAGTGCTGGTATGAAAGGCGTGCGCCACTACCGCCCGGTCATAGCCCCAGCTTTTTGAGACAGGATCTCACATTGTAGTCCAAGCTGGCCTTGAAGACATGGCAATCCTCTAGTTTCTGCCTACCTTCTGCCTCCACCTCCCAAGTGCTAGGTGTGTAAGACCATGTCTAGCTTTGTCAATATCATAAGATAATTGTTATTCGTGATCTTGGTTGACCAACAACACACTGTTATGCAGTACATGGTTATATTGTGTCTGCTTTGCATACAGATTCTTTCTGGAAGGCAGAGAACTTGTCATGTTGGCTGTTGGGCACAGATGGGGCATTGCATTATGTACTCTTCGTACACCTTTTGGAGTTTTCACCATGTGAATGTATAACTATGGATGTTGTTCTGAACTGCTCTAACCTTGTGAAACAAGCTTGCTTTTGCTTCATGGTAGGCTGGGTTCAGGGCAAGGAAGCTGCCACATCTGAGCAGGACTATTAACTGCTAACTATGTAGAGCAAGCCCTAGCTGTAAAATGTAGATGCCTGTTTAGAATGGGTGGTCCTGTTGAGCCACTTCTGACTCAAGATAAGACAAACCATTACTGTCTCCAGGCTAGGCTGTTGCTAACCAGGTCACACCTCAAACGCAGTTGTTGCAGGGCTCCAGGACACTGAGATGCACTTAACATTGGAGACTCATTGCTACCCAAAGCAGCCTGTACAATGGCTCTGTGAAGACAGGCTCTTTTTACTGTCTTGTCTGCTGAGGTGCCACCATGTATCAAATTACTTCTGACTTGTGTCTTTAATGAATTCATTTGTATCTGCATGTTACCAGCCTGTTAATGCTGTCCCTTGCATGATGTTAATATTTAAAATAGTGGGCTGGAGAGATGGCTCAGAGGTTAAGAACACTGGCTGTTCTTCCAGAGGTCCTGAGTTCAATTCCCAGCAACTGCATGATGGCTTACAGCCATCTATAATGAAATCTGGTGCCCTCTTCTGGCCTGCAGGCATACATGCGGGTAGAACATTGTATACATAATAAATAAATATTAAAAAAATTTAAAATAGTATCATAATGAAGCACTAAAAAGATCTCTGGGAGTATAGCTCTAATAGTAGACTGCATGTTTAGCATGTGCAAAAAGCCCAGGGTTCAACCCCTGGTTCACAAGTGTGTGTGCAGAAATACAAACATGCATGTACATGCACGAGCATGCACACACACAAGCATACACACACCACCACCACCAACAACAACAACCAAATCACCAACAGAGCTGGGATGTGTCTCAGCTGGTAAAGTTCTTGTGGCATGCATGAAACCCTTGGTTTTATCCACACCACTGCCTAAACCAGGAGAGGTATCCTGCACCTATAATCCCAGCACTTGGAAAGTAGAGGCAGGAGGATCAGTTGTTCAAGGTCCATCTCAGCTATATATTGAGTTCCAGGCCAGCCTAGGATATAGCAGATCCATCTCAAAACAAAACAGGACCCTCTCCTAATAACCAAAACTCTGGCCTCCACAAAAGGCACAGTTGGAGGATGAGGCAAGCAGCCAAGGGGCATGACAGGAGTCATGGAGGCGAAGATAAACTGATGCTTGAAAGCAAGAAGTATGGTTGTCTACAGCAAGAGCAGCCCAAGGAGGGAGCAGCCAAGGGGCTGGAAGCAATGTGCCTGCAAGAGAGCTGAGAGACTGGAGTTGTGGATGAAGAGAGGAGCAGGTCCAAGCAAGACAATGTGGTCCCTGTGCACACAGGCAGGGCTGGTCAGGCCAGGTGAAGGCTGAGGCCCCGGGGGCTTGTGTTGGATGTTCTCTTCTGCCTCAGTGTGCTGCCAAGCCTGATGATCTGAGTTTGATCCCCAGGATCCTCATGACACAGAGAGGAAACTGACTCTTGCAAGTTGTCTGAACTCTACATGTGTGCTCTGACACACATACCCATGTTCAAAGACACACAGAACAAAGAGTGGTGGTGGTGGTGGTGGTGGTGGTGGTGGTGGTGGTGGTGGTGGAAAACTGGAGTGGTAACATTAAAGGACCATCTCAGAGGCCAAGAGCCTCAGTTTACACCATCACATCATGCTCCAAAGAAACATTTCAAGGCAATTTCCTACTAGTGAGATACGTGAATTTCAAACAGAGAGGACTCATCAACAGCAGGAATTAAAACAAAAAAACAAACAAAAAAGAAGCCTGAGAATGAGTCCAACAGAATAGTTCTGGGGATGGGGGGTATAGCTCAGTGGTAAAACTCCTCCCTAGGAGGGGCTAAGGCATGGCTCAGTGGTGGAACAAATACCTAGGTTCCACCAGTGAGAGGTTGAAGGCATGACTCAGTAGTAGAGTTCTTGTGCATAATCCATCAGTGGGAAGCTGGGGGTGTAGCTCTGTGACTGTGCTTGCCTGGCATGCCCGATCCCTGAGCTCCATACCCAGTATGGAAAAAAAAAAAAAAACTATCTTACCAGGGCTAGACAACTATCTGAGGCTATCTGTGGCCTCTCCAAATTTTACCTCCCATACCAGGATTCAGAGGATGATGCACTCACACAGGGAAGTAAATCAAGAGGAGGAAGACTGGGCAGGGTCCTGGTCCATCCTCAGCAGCGGGCTGTTCTGTATCAGAACTACTCTTGCCTTGTTCACTAGTAAGCTTTCCTCGCCAGGTCCCAAACTTCCCTGCTCTGGTATCCAACAGGCAAGATGGGGTCTGGAGGCCGTGCAGAATTCCACGACTGGGCACAGGAGGTGGGTATGGGGAACACAGGGTCTGTTTTCAGGAAGGTATTACGATACAGGGCAAAGTCAGGAGGAGCCAAGGGGTCAGTGGCAGAGAATGCCAACGCAGGTACTACAGTGATAGGGCTGTCTTGAGTAGGGACAGAAGGATTTATGGGTGTAGGGGATGACGAGGAGGGCTCAGTCCCACTGTGTCTGTCTCACTAACCTGGTGAGAAGATGCCCCCTACTTCCTCATGCCACAGGGCCACAGGGTCCTCACTCCATGGGGGCACATCAGGCTCAGTGTCGCTGTGAGGAGAGGTCTGGTCCAGTGCTGTCCCATGACCCTGAAACCACAGTTGGTCACCGTTGGACTGTGCTTGGCTAGGCTCAAAGGGCCTATCTGACACCCGCCCGTTACTGGCTCTTAGGGCAAAGGGTGGTTCACAGTCTGTGTAGGGCTCACCTGGGCCTCCTTAGGTAGGAGAGCAGCTGTCGCCTCTTGGGCAGCAGGAGGAGGCCCAGACTCCAGGAGCTCTGAGGAGAAAGAGTGGGGCCAGGTAGCTCAAGAAAGTTCCCCCCCCCTTCCTAGTGGTGCTAGGTGCTGGGTTCCAGACACGAGGGAGACAGGGACAGGAACTCAAGGCTGGGAAGGACAAGGCGGGGTCGCTGAGGGCTCAGTGGGGAATGGGGTCAAGCAGGGTTTTCTGGAAGGCAAGCAGAGGAGACAGGTGCTGGTTTGTGCCTCTGCATCTCTGTGGGTCCCGAGGCAGCCTGTCCCACGATGCTTGGGGAAAGCTGTGGAAATGGGGCTGTGGGGGGTCAGAGATCGTGTCTGTGCTGTGCTAGACTACAGGGAGGAAGAGGGCCAGAGGCGCACTGGAACGATTTCATCTAGCAAGGCCTGGCTCAGTGGAGTGCAGACAGCTTTGCCCAGCCAGGCTTTAGGCCATGCCCACTTTGCCTGCTCTCACCTGGATTCTCCATCACCTCTGTCTCCTCTTTCATTTGAAGGTCCACCGGCAATTCCTGCATGACCCCAGGGGGAGTTTCAGCCCCAGGCTCTGGAGCTTGGAGCTTGATGTGAGGTATAGGCTGGAAGCTGGAGGGTTCCATCTTTTCTGATAGGACCTCCTTTCCCTGTACCTGGACGGTGACCTAGGGAGATGCACCGAACAAGGAGAGAGTGGGGTGGGTCCATGGGCATCCACTCCACTGCAGGATTTCCTGGTCAAGATATACTGACTAGGTCCTCAAAAGTCCTAAACCTCCCCCTTCCCTTCCCTTGACCCTGAGCTCAAAGCAAAAGGACTGTTTGCTGGCACAGGGCTGCCTGGTACCCTTTGTGTCTCATCCAACTTGGGGAATGAAGGTAATGCAGGTATGGGCTCCTATTGTGAGCAGCCACACAAAGGATCCCCATTACCCGTGGACACTTCCATATGACCAACGAGCAAGTCTGGCTGGGCATAAAACTCCCAGAGTGAAGCAAAGCTTGACCAATGCTCTAGCCCTGACCTTCCACTCAGCTATTGACTCACCCATTTCCGAGGCCCATCCAGCTCCCATTGAAGCCTGTCAACCAAGGCAGCAGCCTCTTCAGGGCTGCCCGGCCACTGCCCTTGCACACGGGTCTGGATCTCAGGGGGCAGTGCACCTAGAAACTGTTCCAGCACCAAGAGGTCCAGCATCTGCTCCTTGGAGTGTACCTCTGGGCGAAGCCACTGGTGACACAGCTCCCGGAGCTGGGCCAGGGCTTCCTGAGGACCAATTGCCTCCTCGTATCGGAAGCACCGGAAGCGTAGACGTGCAGCCTCAGGGCCCGGGTCCCACAGAGTGCCTTCTCCCTCCTCCTCAGAGTCCTCCAGCTTCACCACAACCGGCTCATTTTCTGGGGGTGCACGGCCTGGGGAGCCCAGCACAGTGGGTCTCATCAGGAGTACCAGATCAGGTCTCAGGCCAGTGTCTGTCCCTAGGGAAGGCATAGTATGAGGCATCTGGAATAAGGACAGACTGGCAGTGAATGCTTACTGAGTGCCTACCGTATGCTGTATTGTTTGACCCTGAGACCTTCTCCATGCAGAGGACATGCGAGGGAACAGGTACTGTGACAGGCCAGCCACACCCCCAGACACCCGTGTAACTCTAGCTCAGCAGCTTGCTTTGCTGATTTTCTCTACAGCTGGCCCTAAGCAATGTCTGGTAGGTTCCCCTGTTCTATGTACAGGCTGCTGCGTGGGCTCTTCCCTAAATCCTATTCTTTTCTATAGCAGCCGCTGCCGCTTTACTTATATCCGGGCATTCCTGCCCCTGCTGCCTCCTCTTCGACTACCATTACCAGCCTGTTAATGTTTTCTATCCAGTCTCGGACTTGCTCTTCTCTCAGGCCCCAGCTGTGGTCTCAAAGAGATAGCTACCTTTCCACGATTCCTCCCCAACACCTGAAGCTAACTCATCACATTTAGCAACGATCCATTTCTTCAGCTCTCTCCGAGGTGACAGGGGCACTTCTGAGGACCCTCAAAGGCCCCCAAATCACTGGAGCAACAGTCTGCAAGGAAGGTTTGAGATGCTGACTCCTCTGTGCCTAATGTGAACTGCAGTTTCCTCACTGGTAAAAGGGCTGACTTCCCCTCCCTACATGCTTTCTGCAATTGGGACTCCGTGAAAATCTGAATTTATTATTGGGATGGCATCAACTTAGAAGCAGTTTGATTTCTGTGAGTCACACCTCTGCGCCTCAGGGTGCCGAGTCAACTCTGCGAGAAATAGCAGCTAAGCAAGTAGAATGAGGTTCCGGAAATACATTTCCCAGACGTCTCCGCGAGCACCACCGCTCTAGGGTACCTAAGTGACCAGTCGCCGTGGCGATTGACGAGCTGGCGTGACAGCACAGGGCCCGCCTGCAGGGAGTGCTCGCACCCCTGCCGGGGCTCTAGGTATATGCCCGGGCAGCCGGAATCCCAGAATTCACTACCCTCCGCAGTCCCCACCCCTCCTCAATCCCCTCCTGAGGCTTAGCGGTGGAGGGACTCCCAGTTTCCCTTCAAGTGCTCCGAGAGCGGCTGCGCGCTTCTGAACATGCGCACTCCCGTTCGCTTCCTCCAGAATAGACTACATCTCCCAGACTACTCCGCGCGCAGCTCCAAGCCCTCCTGCCCTTCCCCCACCCCCGCCTCCGTTTCTACCCTTCTTCCAGTCCCCAGGGGATTGCGCTGGTCGCAACGATCAGGTCGCACTCCTGGCCGTCTCTTCCCACACTCCCCGTCTCGAATCCAGGCGTCAGGGCCCCGTCGATGTGCGCAATCCTCTCGGGGGGCAATGGATGGCGGCACCACCTTCCAGACAGCGCATGCCCCCCACCACATTTTTGTCAATTCTCTGCAGGCCTTCCCAGGATTTGCAGGGTTCTGCACCAATCACCGCTCTCACTAGGACGCCGTCAGCCTCCTCGTCTCCATGGCAACCCTGGTTCGGGAGGGGCGCCCCCTCAGCTACCTCCTGAACTGCTGAGTGAAATGTTCAGCTAGATGCTTTCTGGGAGTCGTAGTCGGCAGGGCACTGCGTGTGTGCAAGCCCAGCACCACCCGACTTCTTTAGTATTTCTGCACGGTGGGTGGGACTGAGCAGGGCTCCATGGTAACTGGGGGACCAAACCTGGTGATTTCCCGGGTAACACCCGGACTACCTGGTTTAGGAAAGGCTGTCCGGTTCTGTGGTGAGGGAATGGGGAGGAGACAGGGACACCAAATACCCAGCGAGATAGTTATGAAGGTAAGAATCAGGGAGGCAGAGATACCCGCACACAGAGTCTAGAGCAAGAGGAGGAGAAGGGCCCAAAGATTGCGGGGGCGGAGACTGGATGAGAGGAGAGACAGTGAATATAAGTGAGCACCACACACCCGGGATACAAGTCTGAATGAAAGGGGGTGGAGATTCATTCATTAGAGTCAGAGAATTAGGACCTGAGGCATGTCAGAAAATTTAGCGTGAGGAAGAGAGAAAAAGGAAAGGACTGGGATTAGGAAGGTGAGACATGGAAATTCTAGCTATCGACTCGAATACAAAGGTAAGCAGGGATAAAAGACGGAAAACAGTAAGAGGGACTGATAGGTTTCAAAGACTGAGAAAAAGATGGCAACAAAAAGAGACAGAGAGTTGGGTGTGTGCGCGGGGCGGGGGGGAAACGTTTTAAGAGAAAATTTATAGAAAATTTGACAATACACCAGAAAGATGACTGGGGGCCCTCTAGTTTCCCCGCATCGTTTACCAAACTAATTTTGGGACACCTGACTATTTAAACGTAGCAGTTTTTTTTTTTTTTCTTCTTCTTATCTTTGAAGTCCACACACTGTTCTAGTAGAGACTGACTTGCAAGAAGCTGGTGGGTTGCAAATGAGTTCTGCCAATACATCACCTGGAAGGTAGCTGAATAGCTAGCTCTGTGTGCCTACAGCCAACCTCTTGTTTTATTTCAGAGCCATTGTTTGAGTCTTCCTGGAACTACCTTTGGCACCTTTCTGGTTTCCTTGAGGCACATAAATTTTTGATATATGTCCTTGAGAGTCATGGTTTTATGTATATGTATTTATTTTAGTCAGGATCTCCACTGTGCTATCCTGTAACTCTAAATGTAAACAGAGTGGCCTCATACTTAAAAGATCCCCCTGCCCTTGCCTCTCGAGTGATGGGATTAAAGGCTTGCGCCATGGCCACTGTGTCCAGTCTTTTGGTTTTGGTAGTGTCTCAAGAAGCCCAGGTAGGCTTCCAGCTCTCAGTACAGTTGATGACCTTGAACACCTGATGTTTTTGCTTTTACCTTGGAGTTCCTGGGTGGTGAATATTAACATCCCAAAAGGGAGGAATAGGAGACAGCAATGGAGCAGCGGACCAGAGTGAGGCTGGAACCTAACAAGAAAAACAAGAAGTCTTGTAGCATCGTGTCCAGCACACTGTGCTGGTTTGATCTGAGCTTCGCTGGTCCTGGGCAGCCCCTACCCATAGGGCCTTTCTGTTTGCAGCCCAGGTGGCCTCTTTCTTATGCTGGCTCCACTCATTTTCTGTGTCTTTTCTCAGCAGACATACCATGTGCTGTGTTCTGTCTCCAACATTTTGGCGTCTTTCCCCTTAGAGCATCACACATTGCCCTCTTGTGGTAGGAGGAGGAGTCGTCGTCTCCCAAGGGCTAAGATGAAGAAAACTACAAAAAAGCATTGTTTCCTGGTTAGTGTTCATGCATGTACACATGGGCTGGTCAGCGCCCTCCTATGGCCAGGCAAACTGACCACATCTCTCCTGTAGCCCCTCTCTTTGCCCTCTTTTCTCATTCTAGCCATTACTACCTAGTAGTTTAAAACATCCAATCAAAATGCATATAGGCATATATGGAAGACAAAAATGTATAAAAGCCCCAACCCTATAGCATTTGGGGCTCTAGCCTTTGGATACAAAGCCTGATGACTGATACAACAAACTACTTCCTGATAAAAGAAGCCTTGAGTTCTGGCTTCTTTTCTTTCTTTTTAACAGTATTTAGAGTTCCATTTTTTTTTCAGATGCATTCATTTTCTTTAATGTGTATGCAAGTTTACCTTGAGTGCCTGGTGCCTTAGGTCATAAGAGACTGTCAGAAGTGACAAGAAGGTGTTTGATCCCCTGGAACTCGAGTTATGGATAGTTGTGAACCACCATGTGAGTGCTAGGAACTAAACCTGGGTCCTTTAGAAGAACAACAAGTACTTTTTTTTTGTTGTTTTGTTTTTTGTTTTTTGATTTTTTAGACAGGGTTTCTCTGTGTAGCTTTGGAGCCTGTCCTGGAACTCGCTCTGTAGATCAGGCTGGCCTTGAACTCACAGAGATCCACCTGTCCCTGCCTCCCGAGTGCCTGCTGAGATTAAAGGTGTGCGCCACCACCTTCTGGCCAAGTACTTTTTTTTTTTTAAGATTTATTTTTCCTATTTTATGTGATTAAATGTTTCACCTGCATGTACATTTGTGCACCATATGCATGCTCGCTGCCTGAGGAGGTGGTGAGCCTCCATGTAGGTGCTGGGAATTGAACCCATGTTCTTCACAACAAGTGCTCTTAACCATTGAGCCAACTCTACAGTCCCTGCAACAAGTACTCTTAACCTCTGAGCCATCTCTTCAGCCCCAGGGTCTTGCATTTGAAAGGCTGCAACTCTCTTAAGGGCTGCATGTAGGGACTCTGACCCTACTATACATTGCCTGGACTCCCAAGCTACCCTTTGAAATCTGGTTGTGAGCCTTCATGACTTGCAGTCTGCATGTTTGAAAAAGCAGTATTATGTGTCTGGTACCATCTGGAGAGGTGCCATGACCCTCTTAGACTGTGGTTGTAGCAACCTTTGAGCACCAGAGCAGCTGAATATTCCTCAGTAAACATTTTCCTAGTTGAGGGCTCTGTTCAGCCAGGGAGTTCCCTTCCCAAAGGAAAGGTTCAGCTATTCGTACCTTTGAGCCAGTGATGGGTGGTGTCTGGCCATTTTCTGAGACACTCTCAAGACATCGTTCCTATTGTCCCAGTGAAAATCACCCCCTCCTAAGCCCCACCACTGCTTAGACTGTATCTTACTATGTAGCCCTGGCTATGAAGGGGTTAAACTCTCCCACTTTCACAACTGAATTTAGGTTCCATTTCTGTGAGAAGGGCAAACAGGTGTCTTTTCCAACAAAGGGCCATTTATCTACAAGGCCCTTACATTCAGGGTCCAGGGAGAGACTAACACAGAGGGCCTCACAGTATCTCAAGGACTAATCCAGCAGCCCCCTTCTGAGTCTCGTCCAAGTTTGTGCAGATATGTCCAAAGATGATAAAACTAAACCTCAGCCAATTAAAAATATACCAATGTAAGCACTGCTTGCTTAACCAATTATGTAGCTGACCCCCGAAACTCCCCTTAGCTGTGCTTAAAGAGCCTGCGTGTTTATCTCAGGGTGGTGGCCATCTTGCACAGGTGACCCCACATGCATGCTGGTATAATAAACACTCTTTGTGGGGGCTGGAGAGATGGCTCAGAGATTGAGAGCACTGGCTGCTCTTCCAGAGGTCCTGAGCTCAATTCCCAGCAACCAAATGGTGGCTCACAACCATCTGTAATGAGATCTGGTGCCCTCTTCTGGCCTGCAGGCATACACGCAAACAGAACACTGTATACATAATAAATAAATTAAAAAAAAGGAATTGTATAAAAAAAAAAACCACTCTTTGTTCTTGCATACTATTTGAGCCTGGGGTCTTCCTTCAGCGTTTCCTCGGACCCTACAGCTATTCTGGAACTCACTTTGTAGAGCAGGCTGGCTTCAAATTCACAGAGACCTGCCTGCCTTTGCCTCCCAAGTGCTAGGATTAGTCATGCACTACCACACTCAGCTTGCTTGGCCTCTCTCTAATGGGGTAAATGTAAATGTATTTACAGCCATTGATTTACCCACAATTTTCAATTCACCACTTTTCTGGTAAGAGTTTTTTTTCCTCTCTCTCTGAGACAGAATTTCGGTATGTAGCTCTGCCTAGCCTGGCCTGGAACTCTGTGTGGATCAGCCTAGTCTGGAACTCACACTGATCCACCTGCCTCTGCCTCCCCAGCATTCAGATTAAAGTCATTTGCCTCCATTCCTGACCAAGACTGCATTTAAAAAAATAAGGTTTATTTGTGATTGATAAGTGTGTGTTCCACACACATCATATGTAGCTTTCCACACAGGTCAGAAGGCTGGAATCTCTTGGAACCGAAGTTAGAGGTTGCTGTGAGCAGCCTGACACAGGTGCTGGGAACTTTATCCAGGCCCTCTGGAAGAGCAGCAAGTACTCTTTAAGCACTAAACCATACCTTAGCCCCAAGACTATACACATTTTAAAAAATCATTCTGTTCTGCTTTTTTTTTTTTTTTTGGTTTTTCGAGACAGGGTTTCTCTGTGTAGCTTTGCGCCTCTCCTGGAACTCACTCGGTAGCCCAGGCTGGCCTCGAACTCACAGAGATCCGCCTGGCTCTGCCTCCCGAGTGCTGGGATTAAAGGCGTACGCCACCACCGCCCGGCTGTTTCTAGTTTTTAGCTGGTTAAAAGCAGCCAGTAATAAACATAGCATAACTAGAACCCAGCATGCTGTAATCTTAGTTAGCATGATTATTACTGTGATAAAACACCATGATTAA